TCCATGGCTTCCTAGTGCGCAATACAGCTAAATTTTCGCAATGACGATGGACACATTTGGCCAATCAAAAGCTTGTATTTTTACATGTCGCAAAATGCAATATGTTTACAAAAATACAGGCTTCTAGTTGGCTTAATTAAGCCATCGCCATTGCGAAAATTTAGCTGAATTCGGCCCTAATGTCAGCAAGGATATGAATTTTTCGCAGCTAGATGGCAAGGTTAAGAGAACTGCATTCAGTATGATGGACATAGAATTGTTAGAAAATCAAAGAAATGGACAGAACGATATTTCGTTTGACCATTGGAGGGGAGGGGGAATTAATAGCTATTTTAGGTTCTAGTCAATTTTCCTGTTATTTACAAAGAGGTGAACAATTTAATCACCTCCATAAAGTTCGGCTCTTCATTACTGAAGCAGAGGGGGCCCCCAGAGAAGTTTTTGCCCCGGATCTCAAAGGCTAAGTTGGGCCCTGATTAAACACTAAACATACATTCCATCCCTTATGAAATGCTTTGATTGAGGAAACAACCACTGGACTAAAGCCATTCTTCTTGAAAGATTAGGCAAAATGATTGGTCAACATTTTCAGTCCTTCCAATTGTTTGCATGTTTCGTTTTCTGTCCGAAAAGGATTCTAGAAAAGGATTAAATTCCATAACTGTAATATAAATTCGGAAATTTTTCGCAAAATCAAACATACTCGGTATTCCAAAACGATCAACCTTAATTCTTAAAATTTCTGTTAAGAATTAATTCGAATTCCTGTTAAGAATAAACATAAAGGGTCTCAAATTAATTTATAGATACTATACCGACGCAATCAAAAGCTTATGAATCACTACTGAGATGGGACTGAAAACACCAAAGTCGTGTTTGATTGCCGGAGAAAACAAGAAGGAGTTTTTTTTAATTAAAAACACATTCTAGATTTATTCTGAAACAAACTGTTTTTGTTTTCAGAATCGTCATCGCTTAAATATTTATTCAATAATTTGTATAATGTGTTTTCTTCATATTGAAACAATATTCAAAAAAATTCTGAAATTTAAGTTCCAGAACAGCGTTTTGGCTAGCAAAAAGTATCGGAACACTATACCGGTGCGTTCCTTTACCAGCACACACCTAAATACAATATTTCTTTCTAATTAACACGAATCGATGGTTGACTGAATGTTAACAATAACGAGCTTCCTAAAACCGAAGGAAATTGAGTAAACTTCCGGTGTATTCCACCGCTTACGAGGCGATGTGTGAACAGGCTTCATATTCAAGGAGGATTTATTATTGTAAATTATTTAAGAAAATTAATATCACAGCATAAATAAAGTGAAAGGTTTGCCATGTTTCGAGTATTATCCCTTATTTGGCTATAACTGTGTAAAATAGCCGTTTGATATTGTTTGGGTGGCATCATGCGAAGTCTTCCGAATTCATTTCTTGTTCGTTTCGCTGAAATTTAAATTGAAGGAACGCTTATATTGTAAACACTATTAGTATAGTAATATTGGTTGGCGCGCTTTTTCAAGTTTAGACGTAATAGATAAACCGGAAGTAACAACCCGGAAGTCTTACGACGAACTTTAACCCCTAGCGCCATCTGTGATTAGCTTTACACGGTCCACCATCCATACTATAGCGATTTTTTCTGCTACTTAAAAACTGATATCGATGAAATCAAATATTTCTCAGATTCTCAATCGAATTTCTAAAGTTACTTCTTCCTAGAATATACGAGTAGATTGCGCTACCAGAGTTAAAAGATATTTTATTATTATTTCGATTATTTTAAATGTTGGTCTTCTTAGTCACTTCATGCATGGCTACAATAAGTTTTCAAAATGTCACAATGGGATACCTGCAAGTGATGTAGTGCGGTATGATGGGCTGTTGAACCGTGGCATTTCTTTACGTTAGCAACTGTTCTTTCCATTCTATTTCCAGTAAGCCAATCCAGTCAAGCATCAGTTCTCTTATGTGACACATTCTAAATTCTTTCACAAAGATTCTTTCTCAAAGATTGTAATTCTTTCACTATATATTTTCTCAGAGACTTAACACAAAGACAGGCACGAAGCCATGTTGAACATAAACAAACGAATTATGCGTCAAAGTTTGTTTCTAGGCTCGAAAAACAAAAATATATCAGGATTACGATAAAATACATAAACAAATAATAAATCTAAGTTAAGTAAAAGATGTAGACTAGAAAGAATTATATTTCAACTAATTCGATGTGCGATACGGCGCTGTATTTGATTAACTTATAGTTAACATTCTAACTTATGTTGAGAAACTTAGCTCAACTTTAATACGCCATTTTGCTGACAAAGATTAAATGGCGCTGACATCGTAGGTCACGTGTGGGTGTGAGAGGTCTTCTTTTTGAAGTGCAAATACCCAATTGAGAAAAAAAAGAGAAGGAATTTTAAAGCATTTCTTAATCTAAAAATTGATTTAAAAAAGTGTTTTTTAGCAAGTCAATTGATAATTTCAAATAGAGGATAACTTATGAATTCATTTATTTATTAATTTTTTTTGTCTGAAATATTTGAGGGAAAAGATTATTGATGGGGTCAGGGGATACGCACCTACTTAACCCCATGATTATTTGACCATTTTTATAGTTATTATTTATAATTGATTTTCCTTCAAGTCTGTTTTACATTCGGTTTTATTAAACTCTTGAAAGAGCAAAAAGAAGAAATAGCAAAAAGAAGAAAAGTTTGGTAAATCTAACTTGTTGCACGACTTTCCGATGATGATAGATTTATTTTATTTTTATTGTCTCAAAAAACAAAAACAAAAAAGATTCCCAGAATGCATCATCTGAAGAACAAGTTTCTTCTCGCAATGTTATTCTTGATTTTTCGAATCAAGTTTCATTCACCTGTTGAATTGTATTTTTTCTCTTTTTATCCTATTTTCAGAGTAAAAATAAAGTAAATATTGGTAATCTCATAAGCGTTGGTGGTATAACGGTTAGCATAGCTGCCTTCCAAGCAGTTGACCCGGGTTCGACTCCCGGCCAACGCATGAATTTTTGTTTCGATAAATTTTTTTTAATTAGCCATATCCTGTTTGTATTATCGAATTCTGTCTAATTACTGAACATATTGTTCTGTCTTAAATTAGCAAAAATAGAAGGCGGGAGACAATATTTTGTAAATCTTCTTCGCAATGCGCAGTGCAGTGAGCAAAATAAAATAAAATAAAATAACCTAAAATAAGAATTAAAAACGGAGAAAAACTCTGAATAATTTTTGAGCTAAAGGTGAGATGTTCACGTACTGGCATTTAAACAAATGATTCACGAAGGTGACCTCAAATATTCTAATTTATTTCTGCAGACGATATTTTAAGCTAGGAGACACAAAAACGTACTTCCTCTGAATAAATACAAATTATTTTTTGGCGGGGGGGGGGGTTTCGATTCCTTACCCTCAAAATTAGCCGCTATTTGGGTATTAGGGTCCCAATAGTTTGGTCAGTAGAGCGGGTAAAGTTTGGACCCTTTAATGTAAATTCTACTTTTTGGGTATTTCGCTGCATCTCAAAAACATTTTAAGTGAATTGAAAGTTTTTTTGTGTACAATTTTAAAATCCTTTTATTCAAAGATACTTCCACGCAAAAAATTATTTTTAATATTTTTTTTTATTTTTCTTTATTTTATTTAAAAGTAGTCGAAAAAATTTTCAATTGTAAGGTATACTATATTTTACAAATTTTAAAGAATGTAAACTTCTATGGCAAGTACGAAATTTGTGCTAAAGCGGTCGAATAGTTTCTGAGATATCGAATTTTACATTAACAAATTTTTTTTAAAATTAGATTTCTCAACTACTATTCGATTTCATTCAAATTTTGTGTTCTGCTTAAGAAAGAAAAATTGCAGTCTTTAAAATGAGGTAAAAAATTGCATACCTTATTCAAAATATAACAAATAAATAAAAAATAATAAATGAGAAATAATAAATAAAAAATAATAAATATATCTTCCGGTAAAAGGAATTTTTTAATTGTGTGCAAAATGTTTTCAATTCGCTTTATCAATTTTCGAGATATGGAGAAATACGCTAAAAATTAAATTAACATTAAGAAATCTAAACTTACCACTCTCTTGACCCTATTGGTGCCATATTTTTCGAATTGCGACTATCCTCCTTAATTTGGAGGTCTGCAATTCAAATCTCATTAGATTTAAAATTATTTAGTTTTTTTTTTTTTTTTTTTTTTTTTTTTTTTTTTNTGGAGGACTGTACAGAGCGCAAAATAAAAAAAATATCACCCTGAATATCTTTCTTTCTAATGATCGGATTTTTGCGTATTAAGTGTCCATCTTAATGGTTCCTGGGGGTGTCCATCTTGATGGTTCATCTTAATTAGGATCTGCGCAGTAATAAAATGTATTTTTTCTATCGTTTAAAGTTCTTAATTTTAAACATAAAATCAATAAAATTCAAAAACATTTTCAGAAACTTTGCATAATCTTGATAAAAATAACTAGCTTCTGATAAATATTGCAGAATTTTTTCTCAAAATCATGAATTTTTTTTGTAATTTAGAACGACAATCGACGCGGCAGAGAAAAAAATCTCTGTTTATAAGAGAGAAAATGAAGCAATTTTTACAAACTCCGAATAAAAAATACACCTTTAAGGGCTTTTAAAAAACGTAAATCAAAAATAATCACCTTTAAGCACTTTTTAAAAACGCTACGCACCCTGTTAGAACCTAAAAAAATTAGAATTTACTCGGGTGAGTGGGGGCATGTGTGATTAATTAGACTAAAAATAATTGAAGATCCTCTCTAATCTGCAAATTGAATGATATATTTATATTGTTATCTCGTAATCGCTACGATATTTGAGAAGTGAGTATTTTGTTTCAAGAATGAGAAGAATCGTCGATTTATCAGAATCTTAACAACTGAGTAAACAACTTATTCTTCTTATCATTTAAAAGTTTTAACGAACTTTTTCTTTCAATTTCATTACAGAGTGTATAATAATGACTATAAGAACCGAACTTGAGAAAAATAAGTAAGTTTACTTCCTGAATTTTTATTTATTTGAAATATTTAAAATTTCTGCCTCTTTCTTTTATAATGATTTATCCTTTATATTATATCCTTGATTGTGATTGATATTGATAATGATTCCTTATTATATCCTTTTATAATGAAGAACTGGAAGTATGATAAATTAGTTTATTTCTTTTTTATTTAAGGGATAATTTCATAGAAGCATTGAAAAAATGTCGAAACTTCCCTTTGGCGCAACAGATACTTTTTATCGATAGTATCGGTTTGTATCGATATTTCTTTTTGATGATATTGATATAACAGAAACCTTTCATTATTTTTTTTATTACCGGCGTTGAACAATTTTACTAAGCCAACCCAAGCTAACCCAATTTTGAATTTATGACTATCAATGTTCAATTCTGTAGCCTTGTAATTTTGAACTCAATCCAGAAGACAAGGGAACTCCAGGATCAAGCATTGCGAAATATTTGCCTTCGTGGAAAACTTTTCGATGGAACAAACCCGCATTTGCGTTATATGGGGAGGAAAACCACGAAAACCTCCCAAGAGTAGCCTGACGGCAAGGGACGGCTATTGAGGATATTTTACGTAAGCATTGTGGTCGGTTCAAGAATTTATATTGTCCAGTCATCGATGTGATTCGAACCCGAGACACCTCATTGGGAGGCGAGCGCTCTATCCTCTGAGCAGCCACGGGTAAAATCGATTGATATTGATACCTCTTTTGGCATTGATCTGTTTTAGGAATTATGAGCTGGCGACTGTCAGCGTGAACAATTGACTATATAACTTTAATATAAAGCTGTAATATAAATGTATATCAATTAAAACTATAATATATTTTAATAAGGGCTTGTTTCGTGTAATAGATTTTTTTTCCTTTCACTTTAATCGTAACATAGCATTAACATTCGTAAATAGCTTGAGGGATATAATGACATAAGCAAAAAGAAAAATTAACATGAAGTCCGAATGCTTTCCTGTCTAAACTTGGTGTAATCCAGATTTACGCCTGAAGATGCAAAAATCCATGGATGCCAGGAGGCTTACTCTTCTGAAGATTTACTACATTCGAACCTTTAAACTTGTGCTTTATTACTTGAAATTAGATCAAAAGCTTTTAAGGTTTTCTTGTTTTATTTTGCTCACTTCTCATAATATATGTCCAGTGATATGAGTCTATCTTGTACTTTAACAATAATTCATTGTACTTCCAAATATTAGGATTTTACAAAAAAAAAAGTGTATATGCCAAATTTGCTTGAGAATTATTATGCAATACATTAATAATAAAGAGTGGAAAAATGACTATTGAGGATGGCAAGACGTGTGATTGCTAGAAGAATTAAATATGAGTTGAATAGATCACCACTAAGTTCACCAGGTAATCAAATTGTATTGGATGCTATTGTCCTGCCTTCCTCATGGGTGATTCGGTCGATTTCGATTGCTTTTTTGTTACTTCCTCTCCGCCTCAGTATTAATTTAGAACACCTCTCAAGCAGATTGTTTGTTTTCCTTCCTTTTACTCAATTCTAAAGATATATATGAAGGGTGATTAATACAGAACACTCTACATGCACCCAATACAAAATTTTTATGAGCTTTATTTTCTTCAAAATAAATAAATAAATAATAGATTCATAAAGCAGTTTATTTTATTTTATACAAGATTTTAGGTGAGAAGGAATTTGGGAAATGCCTTCAACAAGAAAACGTAAGGAATCTGCGAATTCGGAAACACAAAGGAGAAAAAGAAAATGTGCTAAAGAAACGGATTCCCGATTTCTGCAAAGGTAATAATTAAAAGAAATTATCCGTAAGATTATAAGGATTAAAAAAAATAATCATTGATAAATTATTTGAAAATATTTAAGATATTTTTTTAAAAAAGGGATATTAATTTATGAATTATGTAGTTACTGTCTATTTTGCTTATCATGAGCACAAAGATGACCACAATAATTGCTTGTTACAACCGAGTGCCCGTATAAAAACGGGTGCTTAAAAAAATTATAAAAGTTCACACTGTCGTAAGTCATTAAGGCAAGGGGTGCAATTGTTCTTGTTTTCCAGTGGCGCCATCTATGGCCAAAAATTCGACTTCCGCCACACCTATACGTTGATATGTTATGGTAACATGGAGAACTTTGTGACCCGACAGATTTAACGTGCACCAGTCATCATTTGCCACGTGGGGAGTCTTCGGCCGACTGGATTCGAAATCCCGTTCTAACAAACGTGAGTCTAGCGCCCAGCCAACAGGCCTACACACTTATTAAATTAGAAATATGGTAATAACCCATTTTTGCACAGTACGAGAGAAATGAGTTAATTTGTTTCGAACTGTCTCGTTGTTGTCTGATATTTTTTGGGATAAGATTCATGGCCCGAAAAACATCGTCGTCATCAAAAAGGTATTCGTTTACCCGAAATATCCATCAAAAAGGAATTTTTCAAAAAAGAGATTAGCTGAGCTGGATAAGTAGAAATTATGTCGATCACAAAAATATGACCCGCTAAAACCAAGTTTTGCTCATTAAAAACGAGCTATGCTCCAATAGATATGACATTGTACCAACAGGGCCGTCTTAATAACAAGCACAATGCACATAAAATAAAGCATTTTTTAACTAGGAATAATTTTTCTTAAATGCTAACAAATTGTAATCCTCAAATAGTAAGTAATTTTCAAAACAAAGAAGCTAATTAAAATAAGTAAATTAAAAAGCATAGGGGTATAAAAAATTTATTGCATTTTATTTTGTAAAAGACCCAATTTTTGGGTTTACGACTACCAATGTTCAATTCCGCAGCCTTGTAATTTTGAACCAATCCAGAAGACAAGGAAACTCCTGGATCGGTACCCCCAGAGGTATGACTTGCTATGGGAACATGGAGGCGTCTGTGACTCGACAGACTTAACGTGCATCAATCACCATTTACTACACGGGGAGTTTTCGGCTGGCGGAGATCGAACCTACGAACTCTTATACATGGGCCCAGTGCCCTACCAAGCAGGCTATCCCGACCAAGGGTTAAACAATTTTNTAGCTAGCAAAATGCTAATCTCTACTTATGTTACAAATGTGTATCTCACATATACTACAACAGTTCCACATATGTAGTGCATAATGGGACAGTTAATATACATGTATGGAGCTGTTGATTTATATTTGCATATTCGTAATACATTTTATTATGAGCATAAAATGAGCACTGAGCAATACTATATATTATAATATATATTATATCTATGCTATATGTATACATATTAAATATTATAATATCTATGTTATATATATAAATTATAAATTAAAATATGAGCATATTTATAATATATAGTTGATAAATATTAAATAATGAATTATCTATATGGAGCTGTTGTATGTTGTATATATATATATATATATATATATATTAAAATAGCCCCCAAGACAGCATTTTTGAATTAGTTAATCATATAAAGAATATAAAAACTCACCAACTTAATGCATAACAAAATTAAAAATGAGAAAAAGAATTCTAAAAAAATTATCAAGCAGCAGCGGTCGCCATAGCAACGCATGCAATGACGACGCATGCGCGCTGTTTACTGTTACTCGTGAACACAGTCGAGAAGTGTGATGAAGTCCAAAGAAGGTGCCTACGCCAAGTGCGCACTTTATCAGAATAAGATGGGATTTTATTTTCATTTTACTCAGAAGCTGCTAATGGACAGAAACAATATGTGATTCTGCTTAAAACAGCGTTACAATCTAGTAAACATATGTTTAATTATGAAAAAAAGAAAAAGAATTGTCCAAACCACCCGTAAGATCTAATTTCCCATATTTCCCCTCATTGTGGAATATGTTTAATTGGTAATATTATATTTCATACACCAACTTCATTAATTTAGTTAGCTTATGATTTTATTGTTTATTGATCATACTTGTTTCTAATTTTCGCTTCTTGATTTCTCTTATTATTATCCCAAGTAGCACATAATATTATATAACATCAGAAAATCGGTAAAATCTAACGTTACCTTGCACAACTTCCAATATTAGAAAGATACAAAAGGTCGCTGTTTGCTCAGCCTTATATAATATTAGATTCTTTACAAACTAATATTATCTAGCGTTCGCCATAATATTATTTTGCATTAGTTTTGATGCTATATAATATTAGATTTTGCATTTTCTGATATTAATACATGATATATACATGATAATACATAATACGTGATAATACATGATAATACATATGCGCTTAAAATAATTAAAGCTTCTAAATTATCAATTAATAAGGCTCTTAAATTTTTAATTAATAAGGCTTTTAAATCAAAGCCGAAGCTACTTTTTAAAATCATAAATCGAAATTCCGAGCAGTTAATGAAATTTAGATATCATTGTTTTCATTTTAAATGTGTGCATTTAATTTAATAAAGCAAATAAAAAATGCTAGTGTGACGTAAATAGCTACAACAAAAAATAAGGCTCCTATACTATCATTCAGGGGCTCTAACAAAAAATAATGATTAAATGTTAAGAAGCCTCGCGCCCTTTGCTCTGTGTATTTTATCAATGTTGATTGGAGTAATCACAACCAGTGAAAATGAACATCCTTCAATCAAATTTCTTTTTAATCGTTTACACTCGGCAGCGCCAATCTGTCCTACATTTCATTTTAACATTTGTTTCAAAATGGCAACAGCTTACATCGTAACGATTTTAAGAAACGGTAGTTAAATGAAAAACTGTTTCAACTTTTAGATCGGAATAAACGTAAACGGTTTTTCTGCTTATGGTATTGCACTAAAATAAAGCGTAAGTTTCAGTTTTTAAACTTTAAAAACGATGTCAAGCTGACGAGTAGATTGATTTTTCACCTTTATAGTCTTGTTCAATCGCGCGCTTTGTTGTGTATGTTTATGTTATGATATGGTTGATCTTTTAAAAACAGAATAAATAGAATGTGACTATTTGGATCATCTTAATTATTTAAATCAAATAAGGTATGAATGTATCTTTATAAGAATAGAAGAATTTATAAGAACTGCAAATGAAATTCTGATATACTTTAAAACAATTAGTTTTTGCTATTTTATCAACTTAGTCTCTGGAAGGAAATTTGTATTTTGAATACTAAATGTTTATAATGAGGTCATTTTATTCGTTCAAATAACACAATTTACATTAGGGTGGCCTTCTCATATTTGATGCGAAAGTCGGCGCCAAAAAACAATAGATTTTTGTTATACCTTTTACAATTCTTTTTGAAACAGCTGAAACTCATGAAAACATTTTATGTTAAAAATGAATATTTAAAACATTTAATATGTATTTTAATATAACATCCTTTTAATTAGCTAAAAAATTGTAATTTTGTTTTCATAACACAAATATCATAAACACAAAGCTTAATTTAAAAAAGCAAATAAAAATAACTCTTATCTGTGACTTTCATTCAAATTTCTCTTCAGCATCTCCAGAAGAGTCTGGCGCATACGAATATTTTATGCATTGCATAAACTCTTCGAATGGAACATTTACTGTTTGTTCCGGAACATTTTCTGTTACATTTACTGTTCAGAAAAATAAGAATCAAAATTTTTTTTTGTATGACTGGCAAGCAGTTTGCTTGTAAAATTCTCATTATATTTGGCTCTGTATGCCCTCAAGTCTATAGGAATGAGAGAAAGATTTCCATTTCTGATTAGTGGCAGAATGATCCAGGTAGCCTCCCAGGAGAAACTGACAAAAAACAATACAGACTGACCAACTCAAGGGTATAACTCATAGCTAACTGCAGGACAACCCTCCAACTTTTTTTTTAAAAGAAAATTTTTTTCTCTCTCATAAACAGGGTCTAAAAAACCTGTTTTTTTTTAAAAAAAAAACCCCAACCTGATTGGGTTTTGTGCTATTTAGGGCTTTTTAAGATATTACTTAGTTTAACACTTTTTAGATTTAATTTTTAATTCAAAAGAGAACAATTTTAATAAAAGGAAAACTTTTATGCAAAAATCATAAAGTTATGAATTAAAATAATAAATATTTTAATATAGTACCATCTTTTCACAGTATGTATTAATAAAAGACTTAAATTAATTTTTATTAATTTAATTTTTATTAAATTAATTCTTTCCTTGTGTAAAAAAAGTATGCCTCTTGCAGGCCAACTAACTAGAGAACTACCATTTCTTAAACAATTTTCTTAGTAGTTTTAAGAATTACTCTTACTCTAGTTTTGATTTGGAATTTTAGAATCAATATAAATAGGAAATTTATTTCTCTTTTATCTTATTCATTATTAATCTATTTTGATTATGTTTATAAATCACCCATTTTAGCCCGAGTTTTATTGTTTTTTAGTTTTTTAAGAAAGCCCACCCGGATTTTTTTGGGTTAGTGGGTGGGTCAAAAACCCTGCTCATAAAATCAGTTTTGCTATTGTAGTTGACGTGGCAGATCATGATACGGAGATATCCTCTAACATTCACCCCCGTGTGCAGAATCGTGGTGTCATGAAGCTACTGACTTCTCTTCAGAATTATACTCAAAATTATATGCCATTCTTGCGCATCGGAGCGGAAAAAAAGGCTTGTAATTTTTCTATTTTCATTCGAGAATAATGAAGTAAAAAGTTTGGGTTTTTTTTCTGCAGAAATATTTGTTCTTTTTTTGTTGCAGTTATTGCTATTAATTCCCGCGTAGTTGATAAAATCCAATATTTTTGATCTGATATTATTTATTACAACAGCTGAATCTTGAAATGAAAACACACATTTGGACCCCCCCCCCCTTTTTAAAGAGTTCGATTTGGCGTGATTTCGCGGTCAATCTTTTGTTTTTCGTTAGTTACTGCTATGGATTTTATTATTTTTAATTTGTTTTTAAATTTGATGATGACTTACAAAGAACGAAAAAGAATAAGTTAGTGTATTTTCTCCCTGCGAAATGCGAAAATATAGCTCATAATAATAGAATAAAATATATTAGGTACATATTCAATTTTAAAAATTTCAATATTTTTTCTGAATTTTTTTTTTTTTTTTTTTTTTTTTTTTTTTTTTNTTTTTTTTTTTTGAAGTTGACGCTTTTGTTACTTTAAATGAGTAACATGCATATTTGTTATTTTTAAAAGTGTCTTGCATAAAGATATTAATGCTGGAGAGATTCTTCCCAGGGCATTCACCACTCTTTCAACATCACGAAGCACTCATTCACTCATCTACCAATATTATATTTTCCCTTTCTGAACTTGCTTTTATTAGTTTCTGAATCTATACCTAGACTTTTTATCATTTTACTCTTACATCAATGCGTTCTTCTTTACAGAAATTGCGTCAATCAACCAGAGTGTTCTCATATTTACCTCATTCATAAGAGTTATACCAACTTCATACTCTCTTTAAATGCACATATCATTTCTGAGGTACTGTTTCTAACAATAGGCATTTATACTTTTCTCACAACTAACTCATTTGTAGTCATTTGCTTGTTCATTTCGTTCAACCAAGTGCATACAAACAAGACAGAAATAATGAGAACTAATCAAAATTTCATGCAAGTCAATAATGGCTTTCTTACCAATTTTCTGCGTTTTGAAAAGAAAAAATTATGTATTTTTTTTTCTGTAGACATAAAAGACAAAGTTGGTTATAGGAACAACAACAAATGAGCAACTAATTGTCGAAGAATAACAAAGGTCAAAATTTGAAAGATATTTTTGGATCGTTATCTGTTGCACCAACTACATCGCCAAGATGACAAATAGATTTAATTGTTATCAAATTTAAAAAAAAAATAATGTGTAGATGTTTACCTGAGGGTGACTACGAGTTATACGCTTCAAGTTGGTCCCCTTCTGTGGTTTTTGTTTTGTTTTAGTTTTCTGCTGGGTCAAGACTTTGCGATTATTCTGTCTCAGATCACGATGCAGAAATCTTCCCTAAGTTGGAAATTAAATTGATAGTTATAAAAATAAACCGAGAACCAATCACACAACATTGCAAAAATTGTGGTAGTAACCTGAAAGTGACATCAAACAAAGCAAATAATATCATGATTAACCAAAAACAGGTATTCAGCAACATTGTACAATTGAAATTTGTCACCAAGCCAAGAGATTCTCAATTCTACACTAGTACCTGTACAATATAAAAATAATTTATATCCCTTTTTCTGCGTAACACTTTTCTTCCACCAAAAGCCAATAACTGACAATTTCGTAAGATTGATAGAATTTTCAATAGTTATTTTTGTTAGAGGAATTAGCGATTGGAAATGACAGATTTTTAAAAACTTTAAATGTAATTGATTGTGTTTAAATTGAATATTATGTTTAAGAAAAAGGTAAAGATAAAATTTTTAAACAAGAGTACTTAAATACTTTTTACTAATAATTGTCACTTTGAGTAATTCTTGGCAAAAAATCAAACAACATTCAAGTTATTCAAAATCTGTTAAACTAGGAGGATTTTTGTGTTGTGATCTTTGGCAGAATAATTGTCAAGTTTTGGCAACCTCCAGACAGTGGCATGTAAGGAATTAAAAAAAAAAAATCACAAAAGAGGACCAACTCAAAGATATAACTTGTAGCCACCTCTGGGTCAATTTCTGCATGTTTTTTTTTTTTAAATGCAAGTTTAACACAGACCAAGGAAGATATCCATAGCGTGATCGGCACCTAAATAATCTAAAAGTCTTGGTGATTTTTAGGCAGTGATCTGCGAGATACTAAAAGAAAAAACATCACAGAAGGGGAACAACTCGAAAGTACATGTTTTTTTGGTACTTTTTCATTTTGCCGGTGAAAGCGATAAAGTTACTAATGTAAAGTAACTGTGCTAGTAAATTAATATTTTTTTTGAAAATAATGAAAATAAATAAACAGATAAATTAAATAGTTGTATTTACTTTCGTCTGTAAAATGAAAAAGAACAGTTTTTTTCTTTTTTTAAAAATTCCATTTAACCATTGTAGATCTTGCTGCTGAAATATCCCCTGTTTCTCTGATTAAATGCTTATTTAATCAGTCACACTCTTATAATGCAAATAATAATTATGTTAAAATATCCATATAGATACCTTTGCTAAATTTTGACAACAACTGACCAGTAACATGCAAAAAACTAAAAAGACGAAAAATGGGCCTTAACTTCAAGGGTAAAACTTGTTGTCACCTTAGCCAAACCTACTCACATTTATTTTTTAATTTGTCAATTGTAAAAATTGTTTGACAACTTGGCAATTATAGTTGGCTTGAATAGTTGCTGATGTGGAAATGTTCCCCAACTCTGTTGTACAATTTACAATGGATTCCATATCTATATTAGGGAATCAATAAAACAACCACTAATAATATAGCATGTTAATTGTCTCTATTCTGTCTAGTTTTGGCACCCTATGTTCATAGCTTTTCTATGCACACACTTCAATCCCTGCCACTTTGGGAAATCTTTGTACTTAAAATGCTTTAACATAATATTCTGACACTATTTTTTTAATATTGTATAGCCATATCATTAATACAGAGTTCTCCTAACAGGGGTCTGTCTGTCCAGGCCGAATTTACTACCATTTAGCGGTACCTTCACAAATTCAACTTTAGGAAAAACTGTAGTTTCACAAATTCAACTTTAGGAAAAACGGTAGTTTCATAAAATACTTATTCTTGAAATTTTATTTTTGCATCCCTTAAGAAACAATAAATCCGTATTTTTACCATATTTTTGTGTTGATTTTTTATATTATTTTTAATTTTTCACAAATTCTGTCTAAATTTTCGCAAAATAGGCACCTCTCAGAAAAACCTAGACAGGCCCCTGCCTAAGGAATAAAAGAGAGCAGGTTGCTTCCACAGGTTCTTTGTGTTTTAAAAGGGCAATCACTTAAAACCGTAAAAATGTATCAAAATGTGCAATAATCATGTATTAACTGAATTTGATCTTAAACAAGTTTCAAATTACCCTCTTGTACAATTTTATGTGTATATTTCAAAAAGTTTATTTTGCTCATTATCTAAATAAGAGAGAAATTGTTTGTTTATAAATAAAAATTAAAGGTATGCTAAGAGACAATCTCTGTGCATACATTTTATTTATTTTTAAAAAAAAAAAAGTAAACTAGAAAAATAATTTTCAATAAACTGCTTAAAAAATTTCTTTCTATAATTTATATTGAAAATGACCATTTGAAGGTGCATATTTTTAAGAATAAGGTATTTATTTAAAGAATAATTTTGAAATCATTTAAAAATCAGGGGTCTGTCCAAGCCAAATTTACTACCGTTTAGTGTTACCTTCTCAAATTCAACTTTAGGAAAAATGGTATTTTCACAAAATACTTTTTCTTAAAATTTTATTTTTGTGTTTTGTAATAAAGGATAAATCCTTGTTTTTACCATATTTTTGTGTTGATTTTTTAATAAAAATTTTTAATTTTCACAAATTATGTCTAAATTTTCACAAAATAAGGTACCTCTCAGAAAAACCTAGACAGACCCCTGAAAATGTATTAATATATCCCCTTTAAGAACGATTACCTTATAAAAATTTAACCAATTGAGATTAATCCTAACTAAGTGAATATTTGTAGTAGTAATCAGAATTAAATCTATAAATACAGATAATTTTTATGTGTAATTATTATTTTAACAGTTCATTTTTCTTAAGAATGGAACATGAATAAAAAAGGCAGTGTTGGTATGGTGGCCTATTTTTTCAAAAAAAGGTAAAGAGGGGGCATTTATAAGGATCAAAAGGCAGGCAGAGTAGTGTGCTGCCCTTATAAAAATGCTGAAAGGAAGAACACTGATTAATATGATAAAGCATACAATTGGAAATGCATTTTTAAATTTCTTATTCATTTAAATTTTTTTAGTTTGTAATGAATGTTTTTTTAAAAAATTTTTTTAATTATATTCCAAGCTTAATTTGCTTTTCTATGTATTCAGAATGGCCCCTCCTATTGAAGAATATTATCACGATTTGCTGCAGCCTGTTAAAGATGCAGAAAAGTCATTTCAAATAGATGTTGCACAATTGCTCTCTTCCTATATAAATAATGTAAGTCTCTTTCATCAAATTTATTTCTTTATATATTTATCTTCATTATATTGTTGTCTTCATACCACTGATGCGCAGAGATGATCAAAATAAACTCTTAGATTAGAATAGATGTTCATGAAAAGAAAATGAATACATAAAATAAATATATAGGACATTGGAAAGATGTTCATTTATACAGTTCAAAATCTGTAATATTATTCCATTTTTTATTAATGCAAGCAGAAATAATTTTGTTGTAAAAAATCTACTAAAATATTTTGGATTTTTTTTAATGACATAAAACTTGATAGTTAAATTTGCAGAGTTCTCCATAGGAATAAAAAAAGAAAACCTTAACTATACATAATTATGGTGTGTCTGAAAAAAGAAACTTAATTATCTGTAGTTAAAGTTAATGATCTTTATATAGACTGACTACCTGCTAAGTGCTAACTGAAATTCCTTTTTTTAAAAAAATATATATTATTCTGTGTAGGTATGGTAATTAAGAATGTTTTTAACTGATGTTTCTTTGACTGCAAAGAAAATTTTAAAAGATATTTGATAATATAATCCAAAACAATATTTTCAAAATTGTTATTGTAGTGATACTTATATGTTTGTTCAGAAATACTTTATACTAATACTTACGATTTTGTTCTATTTTTTTGTTTGTTATAGTTTGTGCAAGGAAATGTTCCAGCTAATTTTAATGCAGCCGCTCTTGTAATCCAAGGAAGTAGTAGTATTTATGGCCGGAAGGTATTTGTCTTTTTATTTATATTTCTCATCGTTAGAAAATCAAAGAGTTTTTAGGGTTATAAAAATTTAAACAGTTTTATTAATTAAACTTTTACCTGTTGATTTTTTATAAACTTTTTTTAAATAAATTTAATTTTGCCGACACCGTTTATTATGGTATCAAAGGTAAACGGAAGATTAATAAAGGATGTTTTTCGATACTTTTTAAAAAACATTTTTGAAAATCAGTAAATAAATAATTCCTAATATGTTTCTATAAGTTACTGGTTCAAATTTTAATTTTGTAGTGCTTTACATTTAAAATATACAGGCTATCCACTCACCTGGAAAGTCATGAAAAATCATTGAAATTCATGAATTTTGGTATTGAACAAAATTTGTCTTGTAATGTCATGATTTTAACTATTTTTTTAAAAAAATCATGGGAACTCATGGATTTAGGTTGCCAAAAAAAATCTAGTTTTTAAAATGGAATCACCCCCCCCCAAATTTCATGGTGTTCTGAACATCTGAATTTCTAACGAAATCCCCAGTCAAGTCATATTTTATTAAAATATAAAATGTTTTTTTCGTGTTCGTTAAAAATTATGGTGTTCTTTCAAAAAATTAAAGGAAAACTTCATTTCTAATTTTTATTATTATTTATTTTTTTATTTTATCTATATAAAATTCTAGCTTAAGCAAGCCAGTCATAGGCGAAATTTTTTTTTTCCTTCCGAAATGAGAACTGAAAAAATCAGGAGTATTTCTTTCCTTTCTGATGAACTAGAAAAGTATCTTAAGAGTATAATGCTACAAAAAAAAGAGAAGAAAATGTTTTGATTTTGTATTTTTTTCCAGCTATTTTATTGTTTCAACTCTTTTTTAATTAAAATCTATAAATATGAAGATGCAGAGTATAACAGTTTTGATTATAACTATCATTTCAATTATTCTAATGCTGTTTTAAATTTATTGTTGTGTTTTTGTCGGAGAAAATAGTAACTTTGTAAAGTCATGAAAAATTCTTGGAATTAGTCATGGAAAATCATGAAAAGTCATGGATTTGAAAATCAAAAATGTAGCAGATACCCTGAATATGCATGATTTTTCAATTATTTTCTAATAAATGTCATATGTTTCTGTGATTAAAATTGAATTCTTTAGTCTGTAATGTTTCAGGGTTCATACACCTAAATCAAGAATTAGTTTAAAAAACTGAGGAAAAAATGAAAATTTTTGTTAAAAACCTGGAACTTAGAATAAAATGTCCGGATCTTCCTTAGTGTTTTTAAAGAAATTATGTTAAATAATTTTTAAATTTGTATTCAGCTGAAAAAATAAAAATTTTGGGACCTTTCTTGTTTTAAAGAAGCAGTTTTTTGACATTATAAGATAAAACTAGTTATTGTGTTATCTTATTGTTTTTCTGCGATGGGGAAAAATATTTACTGCAGGGTATTAAAGATTTTTTTTAAAAAAGAATTTGCAATTAAAATTAATACTCAGAAATTTTCTGCGATGCTATAAATTTTCCACGAACTGCATTCAAGCAATTTGTGTATATTATGCATATTTTCAAATCCCTAATGTGATACTCTTATTTTAAACATTGATAAAGTTAATCATTTATGCTTCCAGTAATTTCAAACTTTGTTTTTCAGGTGGAGTTTCTTTATAATTTAGCCACACAGTTGTACCAAAACTTGGTGAAAAACAAGTAACTTTACCAATTTTGTATTAGAATATTTGTTTACAATGTACTAGACTTCTCCCCCCCCCTGCTAGTATCCACAGTTTGTCTAAAAAAAAATGAACAAAATTGTATTCCAAGTGTTTTTCTCCATAATTTTAAATTGAATGTAACTGAAATATTTGAATCTAAAAAAATCACGAAATTCTTTCTATAGTATTTTTAGCTTATGTACTATATAGTTACAGAATCTTTTAAAACATTTAAAAAACTGCACTAATTTTATTGTTGTGAGCATTTCCAAATTTCATAAAATGTTCTCCAGAATCTGCAGGCTGATTTAAATGAAGATAGGTTATGAAACAAAATAACACCAACTGTTTCCCATGCTATTGTGTAACACACATCAATTTCAGGAATTATAAAATCAGAATTCATGAGCTTTTTATCAGGCCCTGGATAGTTGGTAAAGAGGGTTTCTAATTGGCAATTTTTTTCCCCAGAATGCTCCATAGAATGAAGTCTGGAGATCTGGTTGGGCTATCGAGCCAACAAATATCTTTTCTTTCAAAAATATCCAGGAAGAGGAGCTTTACAAGGCCATTTCATTCCTCAAAAAAGTTAAAAATAATAAATACAAGCCATGCAGTTATAAAATAATACTTTGTAACTGTGGGGCTTTTATTTTTAACTATAAAAATAAAATAAACTATGAAGTAAATGCTTTATAAATAACTTTAAAAATAAACTATGAAATATCAAAATAGCCTATACTCACACCATGACTTGTTTTATTTTATAACTGTCGTTGAACAGCCGACCCAATTTAGGGTTTACAACTACTGATGTTTAACTCCATAGCCTTGTAATTTTGAACCCAATCCAGAAGACAGGGGAATTTCTGGATCAAGTATTGGGAGAAATTTGCCTTCGTGGAGGACTTTTTGATGGAACTAACCTGCATTTGCGTTACATGGAGAGGAAAATCACATAAACCTTCCACGGTTAGCCTGACGGCAAGAGGACTCCAACCCATGATCCATCTACTGCGAAGATATTTTACGTCAGCACTGTGATTGGTGCGCAATTCGTTTTTCTGGAGCCTTCAATTTATGCTAGTCTCATTCTCTGAAAAAAAGAAATGTGTTAGAAAACAGGACTTTTCTAACAAAAAAAAAAAATCTTTGTCCTATATAAATTTTTACATTTTCTCTCATTCAATGATGACCTTCATGGATATCATATTTTAAAACTTCTGATATCCGTTGTTTTAGTTGCCGATTTAGTAAACGTTGCTCTTATTTTCATACAATCTCTATTTCCAATTGTTGTTTTTGTTGAGTATCTTAATTTTTTTTTAACTTGTTAATATTACATGGTGCGTAGTGTTTTTACCAAAGTGCTTAAAGGTGTTTATTTTCGATTTTCGTGTTTCAAGAACTCTTAAAGGTGCTTTTTTTAATGGATGTTCCTAAAAAGTGCTTAATTTTCACTTCTTGAAAATTAGATTGTTTTTCTTAACCATGTTGATTTTCTCCACGTATTGTGCCAAAGTGTGGTTTTTACATTGTTATATTTAACGTTTTCACAATGCATCTCGACTTGCCGTCAGTCCATAGCACATGAAAGCGCCAATCATTTTACATGTTAGATGAAATACTTGCAAATCCGCATATGCGTCTACTGAGCTGGGTTCGATGAGATTATTGCATTCTCATGTGCAACTCTGCTGCATTCTGCAAGATATTCTCAATTTCAGGCTTCATTTTTTACCCTCTGATATTGAACCAAAAAATCTTGTTCTTTTTATGGTGGATAATATAATCAAGAAAAAGATTTGCCAGAAACTAGTTATGTTATCACGACCATGTTAAGTCTTGAACAATTATTTCGCCTTCTGTTAATGTATATGGTGTTTAAAAAGATTTTTTAAGTCCTTAAAAAGTACTTAAAAGGCGCTTATTTTTTGTTGAAAGATTTAGCTATGCACCCTGTATTACTAAGAGAGGAAAAGTTAGGAAATGTAAAAGTGGCTACCATATTTTTAATACTGGTAGCTTTTTACCTGTATTCATAATTGTTAGTCTAGAGCTTTAGCTTATACGACCGTGCAGAATCTATACATATTATATATTTTGTAAAATTTGGCTAGAGCTAAATCTTGGTACTTGGTGGTTAAATTAATGAATGAGAAAATATGTAAAATATGTACTAATGAATTTATTAATGTTATGATTTGGTTAATTTATTTTCAATGCTATTTACTAGAAAAAATTTCTATTTTTAGGAAGGATGAACAAGCTAAAAAGGATAGTAAAACCAAAGATAGACACAAAGAAAGTAGATTTAATGATGTAAGTTTATTTTAATTTAAACTAAGATATTTATATATGACCTTTGTTTTCAAAATACATTTTATAAATTCTCTAAAGTATTATGGGAGACAAAAAAGTTTTTTTGACTTAAAAGTTTTTCTATTATTATTTACATGAAAATCCCTGAATCATGTTATAAGTTGATAAAAGGAATTTATGCAAAGTTGTAGTCCTGATAGCAGAAACCCCATAACTCTACAAGTGTCTTTGGAGAATATTTTTCATTTTTGATTTTTTTTTAAAATTTTAAATACAAATATTTTCGGAACTGTTTTAAAAATTGAAACTTATCTGCAGGTATTTGAGCTAAAGAAAATGAATGATTTTCCAACATTCCAGTTTTTTTTTTCAATTAATGTAATTTTTAGAAATTATTTTTTTCATTTCTGAAAAAATTTTGGTTTGATAGTTTCGGTACTGGGATTTATTCTATTGTTTAAAAACATTGTTGTGCAAAAGTCAAATTAAATTAGCATTAATTTTTTGTATATAAATTTTTTCGATCAAATATTTGCAAGTTTTACTAATTGTTATGCATAGTTAAATTACACTTGGTTTTTATAACAGTGTTTTCCCTAAGCACTTTTTAAAGGGCAGCCCGCCCTGCCTTCTCTTTGATCCCTATAAATGCACCCTTTTAGTAAAAATCCTTTTTACCTACCCTTTTTTTTGTTTTTGCCATCCCTTAAAAACACTGTCTGTTTTTATTCTGATCGATTTTTAAGAAAAATGAATTAACTGTAAAAATAATAATTACACAAAAAAATTATCTGTGTTTAAAGGTTTAATTTTGATTACTATTACAAATATTTACTTTCTTAGGTTTATTAATGCATTTAAGTGATTAAATTTTTTTTTTTAAATATATATATATTTTAAATGCACTTTTAAATGTTTATTTTCAAATAACTTTCAGTGTGAATTATAGAAAAAAAAATCTTTAAAGTTAATCAAAAAAAATTTTTTTTAGTTTACTTTAAAAAAAAAAAGAAGAAAAAAAACGTATGCACAGATATTGTGTCTTAGCATGCCTTTAATTATTATTTGTAAACAACAAATCTTTCTCTTATTTAGATAATGAGCGAAATTTTTTTTTTGTAGTATACACATTAAATAGTATAGGACGGTAACTTAAAACTTGTTGAGGATCAAATTCAGTTATGACATGATATTACACATTTTGATAATGTTTTACGTTATTAAGTCGGTGCCCTTTCAAAGCTTGAAGTGCCCTTTTTCTGTGAGAAAGCACCCTGCCCTTTTTTATTCTTTGGGAGAACTCTGTTTATAATATTCCTTTTCTCTTTATGTTGGAATCATAAACAAATTTGACTTTATGAAGGTAAGCTACAGATTGACTCGCTCAATTCTGCTATCAAGGCTGTAGTCATTATAACTACTTAAAATTCATTTGTATTTTGTCTAAGTAGGTATTAACTGCTTTTAATTCATTATGTTTAAGCCCTTCTTCTCAACGGAGATAAAATTGGGAAAAAACTTGAGCTGCCTGAAGAAAAAGAATATGTCTAAAGCGTCTTCTAATAAGAAATCCAAGAAGGAAGCAAAGAAATGCCTGTTTGTCCCTGTTGACTTATTGCCCTTTGAGGGAGAAGAAAAGGGAGATACTTTCTATGAGTAAGTTAGCAAACATCTTCCTCATTTTCAATTTAAGTTTGTGTATTCTTCTTTTTTTTTAAAATACATTTATGCAAGTTGTTTTAATTGACAACAAATATGAAAAGGAAATGCAAAAACAATAAATCTAGAAGTAAAATACAATTAAAAGGAGTGACCAAAGTCATTGTCTTTAAAGTTCTCTAGCATGCCAGTAAAGCGCGTTATCTCACGTTAAAGTGATCCACCTTGACGCCTCTATTCATTGGATCTCAATTATGGAGGGCAGCCGAGATTCGAAAAGATTCTAATGCGAAGGAGATGTTCTGTGAAACGGTCATGTCGAGTCAAAAGATGGAATTGGGTTACAACTGGCCTCTGTTAACTGCTGGGAATTTCTAGAACGTCTTTTCGTATCTCCAACATTTTACAGGGTGGCCACCTACCTGGAAAACCTTGAAAACCTGGAATTATCAGGGAATTTTTTTATACTGGAAAAAACCTGAAAATATCAGGGAAATTTAGATAAAAACCTGGAAAAATCAGGGAATTTTAAAGAAAAGCTGGAAATTTTTTCTTTGATAATTTTTTTAATTTTACTAATTTAAATTATTTGCTAATTTTCTTAATTTAAATTATTTCGTCCATTATCCCATTTTTTTTAAACGGCAAACAGTTGAAATATCATCAACTTTGCTTGCATCATGCTTGATACTTTGCTTGCATCAAAACTTGCTCCATTACAGTGTTAAGCTGGAAGGCCACATAAAATTCTCCCACTGTTGCTAAACGAATGTAGAAACCTTTGACCGCTATGGGACTGTGCAATTTAGATAAGATTCTGGTGGAGGTGGAAAAAGGGATTAGGATATTAGCTTCTGTTTTTAAATTCTGTCCTTGGGCTGAATCCATTTATGGCTCAAGTTTGTTCTGATGCTTTGGTGGTAATTTTTTTTTTCTATTTTGACAAAATGTTTTTATATTTTTAACTTCATAAAATTCTCCAAAAATTAGTTGGTTATAATT